ACCAGAAAATCTTCTCTTCGTCTGGAGAAGAAGCCATGTTCAAAGATAAACATGTTGGGAATAACTTCAAGCATTCCATGGCGCAGTCTGCAAAATCGCTCGCGTTGAGTACCATTAGTTTTGATGCTTCAAGATAGTGCCACTTGTGTTTCACAAAGCTAGACATTCGAGCTGACGTGAAGGCATCAATATTAACCTCTATTGCTTCGCCGAGAATGCCAAAATAAAAGCAGCCATTCAGCAAAATGGCTAAAGTACGCATCCCTCAATTCCGCAAGAGCCAGTTGCATCTACAGTACGAATCTTGACTTTCCAGACTTGAATTTTCCCGTTCAATTATATCTGCCAGCTAACTCAATTAAATTGTTATCTGACTTCATAATTCACTTCTCTTATAGAGTTAGTTAATTATATTTATTATTCATTCAAAATATCTCCCCGATTCTGATTGGCGAAAACCACACGCATAACTCACCATAACCAGCTACTGATTACCAAATTTGGAAGAATTTTGCATTTAATGAATCGATGGCGTCAAAAATGCAGCTTTCCTGCGCATGCAGGTTAATGCACCTTCAACCGAGAAGACCTGGGGACGAGGTTGAGTTGTTTTGGATGCGAAAACAAAAATGGCGGACATTTCACTCGTTTTAAGAATAAGAACTAAGCTAAATAATGGCTAAAAACATGGCAAGAACAGCAAGAAGACAACTCTAAGGGAAACATCTGCTATTAAGAGAATATTTGCGGAGCTGAACAACCCTAAACGTGCACTATTAGTCTATCGAAGATGATCTTAACATCGATGGTAAGCTCGTTTTAGCTATGTTTTTAAACAAGGAATTATTTTAAATGAATAATAACACAATTATTGAATTCGGCTTTCGTATCATATGAAGAATTATGGAGATCTCGGAGGGTGTTATCCGCCTCAGTCGCCTCGGCCTACCGCCTCGGCCGATAACACCCTCCTCAATCTCCATAATTCTTCATAAGATACTCAGCCTCTTTCATTAAATTTTAAATAGTATTACACTGAATATGAGACTATTTTTAGCACACGTCATGTAAGGCCTAGGCCAAACGTCGCACTTTTCATGAGACGAACCAAACTTAGTGTCAGTCAAGTTCATGAAAAGTTCGACGTCTGGCTCAGTTAAGTTGGTCTGAATGAGTTTGGATCGTCCAACACGTTCTATCCGTCTGCTTCAGAAGATTAAAACGTATGAATATCATCTCGATCCGGGATAAACGTCGATCTTCACGTGTGAAATTAAAAATTTGTATAATGGTGTTTATTATATACACACTAGGAGATCTTGGTGTTTTCAGCAATCTGATTGGTTCGCTATCTAGGGCTATCCAACAATATTCACCTCCTAGCGAGTCGATAATGCGTGAGCTCGCTGTCTTTCCAAATTTTTTTAAGGATTGATCTTTCGAAATTCAACAAAATCCTAAGGTTGATGTTTTTTAAGGTGAAAAAAGTCTTCGAAGGATTGAAAACAGCGTTTTCTCATTTGCTTTAGCTGATGTTTTTGCTCGATGAATGTTAACAACTTCTGCACGGTTTGCGGGAGTAGAAGAGGGCCGTAATTGTGTGAACTCAGCGCTACCTAACAAGAAAAATTTTATAAGTAGGTTGAGTATGATCGTTTGGGTGAACGTAGTCCTGAATACGACTCTTGTTCTTAACAGTGACTGACGTTTCGACAGCCTGGGCGGTAGTCATCTTCAGAGTCAAATTGAGTTGTATCCGACGTCAGTTGATGTCGTTAAACTCTGGTCATTGACCTAATTGGTCAATTAAATCGCGATGTTATTGGTCGTCTGTCAGTTAAGCCCTGATGTTATTGGCTTTGAAGACTCGTGATGCCATTGGTGCCTTTCGATCCGTCTATTGTCTCAGTCAAACAGTCCTTTGTTGCTTAAACTCAAATTGTCAGTTGTCCAGTCGTTCTCTCGTAGTGAATTTTGCTTGATTCCGTTCATTAAGTCGTTTGTACCTTCCCGGTAACTGTTCACTACGATTCAGCAGCGTTTGTTACGAGTTAGTAAACTAGCTTTCTAAAGTGAGTCTTTGATAGTAGTCTGTAGAATTCGCAATGCATGTCGCAGCGTCCCAGTCGATTTGATGTTTCATCTGTAAATGGTGCTCAGCAATGTGATTGTTGACGTCCCCATTTCTCGTCGCTGGTTTGCGTTCGGTCAGTCGCGTGCTAAGGTTTCTGTGCCGTTGCCGCCCATCATGCACGGTACTGCTTTTCATATTGGCCGGAAAAACTACCCAGTATGTGTACATTATACTGGATAGCTTTTCCTGCCAATATGAAAAGCAGTACAGTACAAGATGGAAAGCAACGGCAAAGAACTGAAAACAAGTCGTTCACAAAGAAATAAACATCGAACATCGGTAGGCCGAGAGGGTTGGGGCACTAAATCCCAGTCCTTACTTGTGAATGTTTACTTTCGACTGGGTTCAGCCCAGGGTTCAACTCCTCCATCCTGCTCGTTAACTTCTGCTAAGGTCTAAATTCCTGCTCACAATGGACCAAAAGTGGCAGAAACTTATCCGATACTGTGACGATTCACTATATAACATCGGCGAGCCGTTACAGAAATCGCGCCGAAAATACCACTCTTATGTGTGAACAGAAACCTTTCCTATCTGTATTGTTTTCGTGTCGGCGCAAGAGCTATGCGGTCTATAGTGTGATCATAACCTCATTCTCACCCTACAATTAGTGACAAAACATAGGAGGGGAACTCCGATAAAACGAAACTTCCTTATCGAACATATTTTGTTAGTTCCTTGGCCCTTCCTTAGACTAAGGTTCCACTGCACAAAAACATTTATTTAGTATATAGATTTAGCCGAAGTTTCCGTATATATACTGATAACAGAAGCAATTAACTTTACGCCAATACTCACCCTTAGGAGCACTTCATTTATCTTTTGAGGGAGGGGTTGGATCACGATTTAAGGGAAAATATTCTTCAAACAGACTAAACTTAAATGCACTGGAAGATATAGAGTTATTTTTAAAGCAAAAATTATTGCAGTGGATCAAGTTGGATCAAAGTAGTAGGCCTTGGAAAGAACTCTTGTCCAAAGTACGTAACCAGACCCCTTATCTCCCCTCCCTCCCACAACACACAAACACACACAGATCCCTTTGCGACATTCTTGGTCAGCCGCCTCTCTCCTCCGCAGAGGCCTCTTTGTGTTGTGGGGAGGCTGGGAGAAAGAAAAAGAGAGCGCGCGAGGCACGATGGGAAGGGGGAAGGCCGTTTCCCTCTTCCCATCGTCCCCCGCGCGCTTTCTATTTTTTCGATTATTGCTATTTTGATGGGGATACCCAGCGGGAGCCTCTGCGGAGGAGAGAGGTCAGCCGGTATATTATTTTCAAACTCTACTAGTTGTAGCTTTCGCTGAGTGCCAACGAAAGAAAAAGAATTTGCCTACATTACCGGTTTTAGCTCCAATGTTTATAAAACCATTTAATTTCAGCTGCTGAGGCGAGAATTTCCACTATAAGCACTCCTTGTTCCTACATTTCTGCCATGCTCTTGGCCTCAAAATCGCTCTTATTCTTCTGCTTAGACATTTTTGAACCTTAAACTTGTGGAGTTCCAAACAGCGAAAGGGAAATAATATTTATAGGTTAGCGAGAACTTGAAATAGCGAGTTGTAGTTCCTGTACAAGTACAGTAGTGTGCCAATCAATCAATCAATCAACTTTATTTACCTTCGAATTTACAGTGTAGGACTCAAGTGCTAATATCTTCAAGCCAACTACATTAATAAATAATTATAATAAAAAGTTAAATATAAATAAGATATCTAACTACCTAGACAACTAACTTACAAATTATCATGATGTAGAAAGGTTTGCAGTTGTTGCCCTTTTAAGTAAATTATTGTTCCCAGGAGATATCAGTCGTCGAAAAGAAGTAATATCAGAAATAGTGCGGTGATGGTCAGGAAGAGAATTCCAAGATATTGCTGCCAAGTAACTAAAGGAATTGATACCATAAGAAGTGGTCAATGGTTTAGGCAAACAGAGCATAAAATTATTATGTCCTCTTAAAAAATAGGTGCTCGGCTTGCTCGTTGGCAATTAGGCCACATTCATTACGTACATGTGTATACAGCTGGAGGGGAGACAATATCTTATAAATGAGCATTCTTTTTCATATCTCCCCCGCCATAACATTAAAACCTAATAGACGAATAAGTTTTAGTAAAAGGCCTTAGACCCGGGGTAAAATGCTAAGCTATTAGTACCGCGCTAGACTTTCACCTTGCACTACAAATGCTACAACAGCTCAAAACCATTTTTATTCAAGTAGTGTGACTCAAGGGGGTGTCTCCGCGCTGTCCTTTTGCACAAATACAACAACTGAGTATTCACTAGAAATTGTTTGTTTGTTGCTGCTGTTGGTTTGTTTATTTATTTATTTTTCTTTTTTTAATTTAATCAGATAAAAGTCTATAAACCTTCAATGTGCATTTTAACTTCAACAATAACGCGAGGCAATATTCAACCAGTCAAATCTCGAAAAATGTATTATTGTAATTACCCTCGACTTCACAACCAAAGTGAAAACAGACAAACTTAAAGAGATATTGGTCAGTGACCGAGTTTACAAGCTTTAGATGTCGGTCAACAAACGCCTAGATTTCGACAAAGTATTTACGCATGAATTCATCTGTCAAAGTTTTGACCAGCAATCTGAGATGGAGGCCGTGACGAAGCTAACAGCAAAGCCTTAAAAGAATCATTTCCGAAGCAACTCCATCAGTTGACTCTAAGATGGTTTGCTTTTCACCAAAACAAACGCAAGGCCCAACGGTCACAAATATTTCACGTTTCCTGTGCCCATAATAGTTTTAGTAGGCTTGAGTAGGCTTGAAATTGGCTTTACTTTTTACAAACATAATGAAGCATACCGCTGCAACTTGCATCATTCCAGAGGCCAGGTTTCCCAGATTTGTACATCATTGCACAATTCTCAGAGCTACCTCCATTAGGTTCTGAGCTATCGGTTGCCCACCCTGTGTAACTTCCCCAGGCTTTTCCGTCCTCCCACACCCAGGTTCCTTCCGTTGCTATGTCGGTTGCGCCTACCCATATGTGTCGCCCGTTCCCAGGGATGAGTGAGTGTGCAAAGTCATTCTCTGCTTGCGAGTGAACGGTCAGCAACTTCGAATTCAAGCTATCACAAGAGCTTTTGGCACCTTGCCAATTTTTTAGGATTGCAATGTATTTGTAACAAAAACTGTTGAACATCATCCATCCGCCATTCATATCACATCCTGTCAAGTAACGTAAAGTAAAATAGAATGAAATGAAGTGTTCGTAAGTGACTAAGTGTAAGTAAAGTGATTTGTAGTAAAGTGATAACAAAACAAGCTCGTGGAACAATATACCCAGGCTTAACGACATATTTAATTAGGTGATCCTGCTCTTTACGTTGTCCGGACGCTCAAGCCAACTTGAGAGAACGAACTTTGAGCTAACAACACAATTAACTTTCTTAATTTAAAGGACATTGTTTGGACTGACACATGCTGTCTGTATTAGACAGGTACCCTTTTTTATTGGAAGCCGAATATATACGCTGAGAAATGGTGAGAGCCAATCTTTGGTGTCCATTTTAAGATTCAGGTGAAGATTGGGAATTGCCTTTGTGTCTTTCAGACGATTACTCTGTATATTATTTTAGATTAGGGTCTTCCTATGCTGAGAGTAGTAGCGAAGATACTGTTGTGGAAAAAGTCTTACACTTCTTGCATGTGCCAAAATAAAGGTAATGACGTAACAAAGTACTCGGGACATATATAATCCTTACACTAGGCGCACTAGCATCTTAAAAGTAATAGACTATAACATGATCTGAATGAGATTCATGACGTCTTCGGCATTAAAGATAATTTGTGTATCATTCTTTACACTCATGACATTCCACTTTAAAAACAACGGTGCAACTGCTCCCTTCTGTGCTACTAAGGTTCCGTCTTATTAGAGGGGTACTGTACTAAGACATTTACTCGAAGGAATCCTATTTGAAATCTCGTGGTAAAACATTCAAAGACTAAATTTGACATTTAAGGTCAAAGGAGACGCTATAACGTGTAAGCAATCAGCTGAAGAGACAAAAGAAAAAGAAAGAAAGAAAAGCTTCAACCTAAATTCTTGAGTTTCCCACACCATTTGATTTCCAATTCCAAATGTCCAAAATCATTCCCCCATGCAAATGATTAGCATCCAAAATCACCCGTACTTTATATCTCCATACTCCCAACCCTAACATTGACTAAATAGCGATAAGAAACCAACCAATAAAATTTTTTTCCTATCGAAATAACAATTGAAAATTACCTTTTTTACAGATGGATGACAGTTGCCCATCACAACCCAAATCGTTCCACATGCCGTGAGCGTCATACATCATTAGGCAGTCCTCAGCGTAATTAGCATCATTTGGTTCCCCAGGATGCCACTTCGTGTAAACACCCCAAGGTTTACCATCTTCCCATACCCAGTCTCCCTCGGTAGCTATGTCGTTTCCGCCCATCCATATGTGCAAGTTGACAGGGATAATTGACCAAACAAAGTCTTGTTCTGCTTCGGAATGAATGGTCACCAAATTCGAGCCTATCGCCACGCAGTCCGTCATAGCATTATTCCATGTTTTCAAATCTTGTGTGAGTTTATAGCAGTATTTATTGAAACCTTGCCACCCATCGCTTTGGTTGCAACCTGTGAACGTCAAATCACAAGCACTTAATGGAATATTCAATATATCTATAAAAGGGCGTTTTACATGTGTCACTGATTAAGTGAGTCGTTTAAGACCACTCACTATGTAATAGGCGATCTCCGTGATGTGTACTTTGACCACAACTACCAGTCCAATTTGTGTGGGCTTTTTTATTCAAATTTAGTCATCCCACAAGGTCTATAAGAAACAATAGGCGTAATTTGCACAAGAAAGCAAAATTTCGAATCATTCTAGCAGCTGTAGTAAAATAACGCCAGCGTGGAAATATGGCGTATTTTTAGAACTTTTAAGGCCAGTCAATGATTCAAAGAGCATGGTTGAAGAGAATCAGTGGTGCCCAAAATTTGTTTAAAAATGGCGTATTCAAATTATATAAATGGTTTTCTAGCCTGAACCGTATGCCATCTTGATACAGGCTGTACAAAGCGTGTACAGGGTTGGCAACATAACAGACACAGGTTAGAACGCGGAGGCTGCAGGATATAAATTCTAAATGTCGTTCTCCCTAAAGTTCATGGTATTTAGCCCACAGCTAGATCTCTGTTATGAGTCAATGTTAAAGATAGCGATCGACGATAAAACTTTGTAAGCGAAATACGTTCGTTCGTAGTTTGCTGTTCGCAACAGTATCTTTTAAATTTAATTTACTAGCATGGGTTTCAGGTGGTACGATGTTACTCACTCTAACTTCCTACGGTCTCGTCTCTTCTCCTCCGCTCTCTCGCACTCTCTTTTGTGAAAAGTACGTGATTCAGACGAAGTTTGGAGCGATTGACCTCGGACTGCGCTGTTCCGACGTCCCAAAATTTTTAGTGAAATTGCTTCAGTGTATTAAAAGTAGATTAACCAACTTCTAAAGTCAAAAAGGGTAACCAAGTCACTTAAAAACCTCGGTCCACCCTTCTTTACCCACACCGTAAAATTCAAAGAATTACGAGGACGACAAATACTTGAGACACTTACTCAAAGAACAATTGATCCCTTCAAATCCAGGTGCACAAGAACACGTGTAACTATTCAGCTGGTCCGTGCATGTTGCGCCGTTCAAACACGGGTTGGGATAACAGTCATTGATATCTGTTATAACATAACAAAAGTAAAGCGCGCACTCTGATTGGTCAATTAGCCATCTACCATTTTTCCATGACTGCACGCCAACGGAAAGCTAGCGCGGTAAAACTGGCGAACTCCTCTATTGTGCATGCAAACGTTGAGTTATGGATACACTTAGGAGGTTTGCTAAGCATTCAGGAAGCTAGTCAGTCGCTCTCGGCTACACCTCGAACAACTCTTGCGCTTTTTTCTTGCTTGGCAACCTCCTTCGTGCATCCATAATTCAATGGTGGCATGCTGCAAGCTTACCATTTCTTAATTGAAAGACCGTGAAGTTCTAATACAAAACAGAAAACAGATGACAAGACGGAACTGATTCAGTTGTTAATAAGAAAATGTTGTAGGAAATGTAACATAAATGTTCAGTTAACTCAGTAATGAAATGATCTTTATTAACGTTTTACTTATTTCAACTTTAAGGTTAAAGATTCAAGCAAAAAGCACGACCAGGAAACTCATTAAAAGCAAACTAAAATAAAAGCGAGTCGACATTTATTAGATTCATTTTGTTCTGTTGGAAGCATGTCCTCAAATGTTTTATAACATAGCTAGAATATTCGCGTAATCAAATTCAATAGGGCGATTGTGCCTCATAATCCCATTAAAAACGTTGATGACGAAAATAAACGATACCTCGAGTTCTTCTGAGCTTAGCAATCCTCCAGAGACGTCTCCCAAGTGGATCCATAACTCAACAGCACACGATGAAGCGTTAACCATGTGTTTTATAACGTAAATTTAAGAGAAAACTTTTGAATTTGTTAACCGATAGTAGGTGAGTGTTGTTGTTGTTGTTGTTGTTGTTGTTGTTATCTGCCCGAGCTGTGCGGGCTATGGCGTGTGGAAAACATTCTTTGGAAGGTTAATTCTTTCATAAAGGATTTTTTGGTGAATTAATGGTTTTTCGGCACCTCAATATGGATTTTACAATCTTTTTTAATGTTATTTTAAGCGACTTCAGTAAACTTTCTCTCAGTTCCAAGACAAAAACATAACGATGAGGTAAAAAAAATATAAGCTTAGTCACGCAGACATTGACGCTTACTCCTTTGAGCGCGCGCTACAATGATAACAAATTTGGTTAACTGCTGAATTGATCCCTTTGATAATGTTGTAATTAGTTCCTGCTTCAGCTGTGCGTAAGTCGAGATATTGAGCACTTGGGAAGTTTGGAGAGCACTAAATTAAAGAGGCTAGAGTTGCTCTGGGCTGCGCATCGAGCAACTCTTATGCCTCTTTCGTGCTCTCCAAACTTCCCGCGTGCTCAGAATATCTCGATCTACGCTCGCGGCAGACGCATGAACTAATTGTTAATTTAATGTTAAATGTTCGCCAGGTTTTTGGACTATTTGACAATAAGGTTTATAAAATCTGCCGGTTTCATTTCACCTATAGCTCCCAACTTTCGGGACAGACACTCCCCACCATTAATGTCTTCGAAGTGATACTAAATTCGTGAACGTTTCGTATATTACACATAATTTTTCCTTTTATCTTTTTCATTTAAAGTCAATCTCCCCCCTTTCCTCAGAAAACATTACTATAAGATTACTCACTTAATTCTATAATAAACACTCACCGATGCTGCAGTTTTTCCCTCCGTATCCGGCTACGCATGTGCAGCTATAGTCATTTAATTCGTCCGTACATGTCGCGCCGTTTACACACGGGTTTGGAAAACAGTCGTTAAAATCTGAGAAAAGCAACATAACGCAATAAATAAACTGACTTTTATCCATGATATCGTTATAACTCTTAAAGATTATCCTTGCACTAAAGAAAGTTAGAAATCTCTTGTAGTTCCTATCCTATCTTTAGTAATAATAATAATTATAAAAAGAAAATGAAGAAGAACGAGAACAAGAAGAAGAATTAGAGAAGAAAAGGAAGATCGAAGAAGAAGACGACGAAGACGACAGCAACGAATAGAAATCGAGTCCCAAACGTAAACCTTTTAAGCACACATATTCACTTACTGATTTCGCAAGATTTCCCTGTAGTTCCAGCTGGGCATGCGCAGGAGTAGTCATCCAGACTATCTGTGCAAGCTCCTCCGTATTGACACGGGCTGGAAGCACAATCGTCTGGATCTAACGAAAAGAAGCACACTTTTATACAAAAGATTGTTCTCTGGTTCTCTGTCGAAGGTGCATAGATTGATAAAAATCATACTCGACGATGTGATTCATCCGACTGAGATGCCAAGAAGTGGACTGAAAAAACCGGGCGCATTCAAAATATTAAACAGACATATGCATCAATATGTATTTTTGTTTTGTTTATTTACAGATAAAGTGATGTATGGACTGTGCTTTTCTGGTGTTTTACTTACTAATGGTACAGTGCCTTCCGTAAAAGCCGACTATGCAAGTGCAAGTGTAGTTGTTTACTTGGTCTTCACATGTTGCGCCATTGCTACACGGATATGGTATACAGTCATCAATGTCTAAGTGAAGGAAGAGATGAGAAAATCTAAAATAAATATAGCACTTAAAAAGCACCTAAATACAGAAATCGTTTACCTCGTTTTGCAGTCAAAGGTGGCCGATCAATTTCCCCCAAGTTTAACTATTTTAAAAAAGGTTGTCGGAAACAATGTGCGCGCGACAATCCCGAAAAGTAATATGGGATATGATCAATACGCAGTTGCTGACACTGTAGCGGTGTCAAATCCTCTATTGTTGCTTTCCTTTAGCATTCTCAAACATTCGTCTATGGCCTTCCGTGCCATTCTTTCAAATTTCTTTAAAGAACAGTGAAATCAATACCACCCACAATACCTTTCGCGATTGTGGCGTACACTTTTTCGGCTAACCTTTCTCGGAATAGCTGTATATGTTTCTATCGACATCATTTTCAAGAAATGTCGCAAAATGTCATTATCGATAAGTAGGAATTTACAACGACTCTCTATTTAAATTTTTAAAAAGCATAGTCTCTCTAACTCTTCTTTAACTATTACTTCTCTAATGACGTCTGTGAGACAACTTTGAATAGCCAGTCGAATTTTTTAGAATGTAATGGTTTCAATTAAATCAAATGATTCATTCTCCATGAAATTTACGTTTTTGTAACCCCCTTTTATTCTTACTATAATTTCAATGTAAACTATTGTAGGCTTTTTTGTTTCCTTTCCTTATAACAGTGAGTAATTATTAGCGCCAACTCCAACACTCTCTTTCTTTGGCTGTTGCACACCTGGCTATAACCTACATTTGCCATTGCCGTCTTTTTTGGTTGCCCAGAAAAGGCCCGTAGGAGTTAAACTTTTTCCTCATGTAAACGCGTTCTTTTGTTTCTAAACATTTGAATAGCCGTTGGCCATATGACTGAAAACGCTCAGAAGAATTTTCCTCATTTTCTCTTCCTGTTTTATGAATAAATCGAGATAAAGAATGGTGTTGGTCTTCTACTTGTTTACATTCAAACAAATATTTGCAGATTTGAAGTGGAATTGACTGACTTTGTATCTAGTAACCAATAACTGAAAGCTGAAGAGCGAAAAAAATGAAAATGTCATTCAATCTTTAAATTTTTGATAACCACAGCGTAAGTTGGCCTTGAAGTTAAAAAACAACGCTTGTGAGGAAGCAAGTTAAAGTAAAAAAAAATGCTACTCAAGTAGTTTAAGGCCTGGGACTAAGGGGTTTACCTGTAGAAAATGATTTATTGGCTATAACTTCGGCATACTCAAGGGGTTTAAGGCCTGGGTCAAAGATGTGTGCTGAGCATATGAAAAATTGGCAATATCTCTCGCTAGGAGACCTAGAAAAAAGGAACTTTTTCCCAGAAGTAAATCTTCAGGTTTTCTTGTGTCTTAACGTCTAATTATAGTCACGTGACATGTCAAGTGACCAAAAATTGAAACTGAGGGAAATTGGCGAATTGGTAGCGAATTTACTTTGTTTCGATAAACAAATTGGTATTTCTGAAAGAGGATAAACATGCCTAACTTTCTACGTTTGGAATGAATGTACGCGAAGTTTAAAATTAAAGTTTTAATAATTCAAGATTAAATTTGGGCGGTTAAAATAATGTTTTCCCTCATAATTTTTTATTGAAGTGCAATGGACGGTCATTCCAAATGTGAAGTGTTAGAAATATTTAACGTGAATTAGAAAAATAAAATGTCTTTTCCCGATTTCTTTTCGTAAACCGGCCCCCAATTGGTCATTAATTTACGACTTTTAACAAAATGGACTTATCAACACAATGTGTTAAGGACGATTAGTTCTTCATGTGTGCCAAATTTTGATTCAGCGCCATCATCTATGCCAAAGTTATGGCCGGTAATTCATTTTCTACAAGTAAACGCCTTTAAGTCCCAGGCCTTAAACTACTTGAGTACATGATGGCGCTGAATCAAAAATTGGCACACATAGAGAAGTCATCGTCCATAACATTTTAAAGTGTAAACATTGTGTTAACAAGTCACGTGACCATTTTGCTAAAAATCGTGTATTATCGACGAATTGGTTGCCGATTTAAGAAAAGAAAGCAGGAAATAACATTTTTATAATTCATATTAAATATTTCTTACACTTCACGTTTGGAATGACCATCCATTACGCTTCAATAAAAAATGTGAGGGAAAACATCATTTTTAAGTCCAAATTTAACCTCGAATTATTTAACACTTAAGTTTGAAACTTCGCGCACATTCACTCCAAAAGTAGAAAGTTAGGTATGTTTATCTTCTTTCAAAAATGCCAATTTGTTTATCGAAACAAAGTAAATTCGCCACCAATTCGCGAATTTCCTTCATTTTCTTTTTAGTCACGTGACATGTCACGTGACCATAATTAAACGTTAAGGCACAAGAAAATATCAAGATTTACTTTGGGAGAAAAACTAATTTTTTTCTAGGTCTCCTGGCGAGAGATATTGCCAATTATTCATATGCTCAGAACACATCTTTGACCCAGGCCTTAAACCCCTTGAGTAATGAAGTAGGACAAATTTACTGAGCTTGAGATATCGTTAAAGTTGCATGTAAGGACTACAAAATTTTTAAATTACAAACCAGTAAACAACACAGAAAATGTCTGTTGTTTTGCCTACTTATTTCACAGTTTCTTCCAGTGAATCCTGTGTTACAATCACACATGTGGCTATCGTCGTAATATAAAGGAGTGCAAACACCGCCATTTTGGCAGGGTCTCTTCACACAAGGAGTCTGAAAAAGAAACCATGACAGTAATGAAATCTAATAACTATACCCAGTTAATTCTATCTTATTTTTGTCGGGTTTTGAGTATTTTGAATTACTTTAGTTGGTTTTTTGTTCATTTATTTATTTTCTGCATTCATTTGAAGAAATGAGCAGAATACCAATTGAAATAACTAGGTCAAATTTTGAACCATAAAGCAACAAAAGAAAAAAAAAAGAAAGAAAAGAAAACAATTTGTGGAACATTTTAGCGAACTTGGTTTTTATGCACCCACATGAAAAAAAAATAACGGAACAAGATTGCTTTCTTAGTTTCCTGCGCAGCCTGTGGGACAAACTTTAAAAGGAGTTATTTGCCGTTATTTAACCAATAACAATTTGTTTTCATGTAAGTTTGAACCACGAAGTGAAACAACCTTTATTTCTAATAAAGCAGTGGTAGAATAAACACAAATCTGACTGGGTGGGGAGGGGAGGATAAACTTCTCACTCTTGTTAATGAATGTTACTTAGTTACTCACTGGTAAAAACTCGCTTGCAAGGAAAAGTCTTAAAAGTGGTTTAAGAACTGCTGGCAGAAATTTGCCATTTCAATACCCAAAAATATAAGAACCTGTTTAGACAAGCAAGATCCAGCAGGTTCGTATGTGTCAGTTACAGCGGATAGTTTTAAGCAAGGAGTTAAACTTTGAGATTGCAATTTCAAATTTAATTTTGTATTGCAGGAAATTTTATACTTATTAACTTTATTTATTTAGTTAGTTAGTTAGTAATTTCTTCAGTTTTTTAAATTTCTTTTTATCTGGATAAACCTCTTGTTCTCATGTTACATACACATTCTGTAACGATCATTCTAGTTGGGCTTATCATGTTAAAGTTGTGAATAAATACATAACTGATTATTTAGGACCAAATCATATTTCATATATTTTTCTGGTAGTCAACAACTATATCTTCTTCATAGCAATTTTAATTGTCAAACAGGTTCTTAAAAGAACTGCCAATAAGAATTGCCAATAACTAGGAACCTCAAAATACAAGAACCTTAATCTGCCAGACTTAAAAAAATACAGGTTCTTACACGCGAGTTTTTGTTGTATCAGTAACCAAATTAGTAACCAAAACTTCTGCTCAGTAATTAATTTCAAGGCGGGGAGCCTTAAGTGAATACTACTTCCATAAAAGTTTAACATAACATAGCAACTTTATTCAGGTGTCGTTGTGTTGAACTGATTAAGACACTCATGGAATAGAAATCATTTTAGAAAACGTCTTCGAATTGAAAGTAAAAATAATGTAATAAAAAAAATGATGTGTAATATAGAATACGTTAAAACTCACTGAAATTTAAAATGTAAAATCAATATTTTACATATCAATTAAGTTAAAACCCGACAAAAAGATATTAGAAAATGGTAAAATATTTCTAACAATTTTAAAAGTAATAAGTCATACAGGAACTACAATCGTCTTTTATATGGTCTACTGAAACTTTAAACTTTGAAAGCATTTGCCGCATAATTTATGTCATAAATTCTGAAAACGGAGTCGATTTTCTTGTTTTTCCAGAAATTTCCAAAAACTGTGCCGCCCTCGATTAGCTGAATTTTCGAGAAATTTCCTAAATTTCCATTTTATTGGATTTTAGTATCGGATTCTTCGCTGAATGTCTCACTTTGCAAACGTTTTTCAAGTTTTTAGTTTGGAGGCAAAATACCTTCTATTCGCTCTAATTTCCTAACTTTAGGAAAGTTTCATAGATTAAAAAGGGGAATGGAAGCACTTCGAGAAAAATCTAGACTCATTAAGCCATATAAATAAACTTAACTTGAACATGGGTAGTAATCTGAATTTAGGCCCCTTGGTGAATCTAGCTGTCAGTTGTCAAATTGTTAACTTACCGATTTAGAGTAGTGGTGAGACATTGCGTTTTCTCTAAGGTTTACTGAGTTGTTGTACATGTCGCTTAGTAGTAACTCGCACCAGAATACCCCCTCTTCGTCAGGAGAAGAAGCCGCATTCAGAGATAAACATGCTGGAACTGCCTTCAAACATTTCATAGCGCAGTCTGCAAACTCGCTCACATTGAATACCATTTGCTTTGATGCTTCAAGATAGTACCACTTGTGTTCCACAAAGCTGAACATTCGAGCTGATGTGAAGGCATCAATTTGAACCTCCATTGCTTCAGCGAAAAAGCCAAAGTAAAGGCACAAACAGCCATTCAGCAAAATGGATAACCTTAGCATGCCCCTGTTACACGGTTTCGATCAAGCCACTTGTAGCTATGGTACGAATATTGACTTTGCAGAGTTGAATTTCGCGGAAAGAAACACTGTTAGCTAATAAACTCGAAACTGATGATATCTAAGTTCTTTCTTCACAACTATTATACGGAGTTAAATAATTCACTTTTAAAAAAGCACTGAACTGAAACTCTAGAACACGTCATTTAAGAGTACTCAAAGGCCGACAAAATGTCGCTGACAGAAGCCGAACTTGGGAAAAAATTGTCTGTCGAAATATGAGCGGAACTAGGTTTTTTCGTTGCTGTTGGAATCTGACAGGTAATACTTAATTGTTATACCTGTTATTTCAAGTGAACCCAGTCATTAGAATATCAATTTCTCTAGCAACGTAGGGAGTCTCCTCCTCCCGCCCCCTTCTCTGTGGCACTGTTGAGTTTTAGAAGGTCTATTATTTGAAATGCGACTGAGGCTTCTCTGTAGTTTCAAAGACCCAAGTGCATAAGCCTGTAAGATAAGAAGATAACTGCAGTATGCATGGCAGCGCACAACCATGCAGTTTACGGCCTGAGCCATGGTCTTCGCGCTTTATATTATCGAGTTCGCCTTTAGCTTGTGTATATTGAACATGCTTGAGCGACTTATTTGAGACAAACGATTGGTCAAAAATGCTGGGTTGACCCTGCAGAGATTTAGTCATTAGTAAATGCAGGGTTTAAATGACTGACGTTGACTATTGTTACGTTCAAATTAATTCTCTGAAATTTAAATGTACTCGATATACCGTATATCAAGTGAATTGAAAAGTATTGCAAATACCAACAAAAGAGAACAAAGAGACGCAGGAATTCTCCATGCGCTTCTTAAAGCTTAACAATTGCATTCGAGGCAGGTGAGCTCAAAACTAATTAGTATTTTCACCAGGAGCGGGACTAATCGGGTGACCACAAGTGAATAACAAAAAAAACGTTCATTAAGAAAGTAGATTTTGTAACGTTATTCTAAATTTAACGGGGAAGAAGAGGAAAATACAGTATGCCTGGAATAATTTTGGACAAAGACATTTCATGTCAAGATATATATTTGTTTTAATTTATTCCTGAAATCCCAAGCATCCAACTTTATTCTCTGGATTACATTTCATAATCATCATCATCATCATTTGATTCTTTCCACTTCAATATTTGTAAAATGCTGAGCATGAACCAGTTAAGCATTGATTTAACAGTTGAGTTCCAGTTGCCTAAAGATTCGTTAGGAGCCAGGGGTCCCTGTGGTGCCCAGTTAGAGAAGGAATTAAAGATGGCGGGCAACAAAGTAAAAAATGCAAGTGGGGTCTTTCTGCTCTCTTAATTTACTGGCGTTAACAACTATCATTAATTTCAGCAGATTATCACAATTATCAGCTCGAGGTGACGCCAAACGAAATTTATGACTGTTAACGACCCGCCGTCATTCTTGTTTTTGTCGGGTTTGTCCCTGGTACAGTAAAGATCTTCCCACTAGGAAAGGAACTTACAAGGTACTTAGAAGGACCGTAGGAATCTTCCTACCTCTCAGCAAGCCGGGAAGATCTTAGCTAGTACTAGGAAGATCCTAGCTCTTTCAGACAAGTACAAACCTTTGCATGTAAACTGAATACAGAAAACATATGGCGCTAGGATCTTCCCGGTGCTCAAGGCCCTCTATGTAAACAGCCGCTAAGTTATACCTGGGCCGAACTCTCCAGCAGCCCTTTAGGAGGAGTTACCAGGAGCGAGAACGCCTCAAGAAAAGTTAACAACAATGATTTTTTTTTTTTACTACTATCCGCAAAAGGTTTGTAATTTTTACATGTAGATATTTCAAATTATGCTGAAATACCACTGCTCTAAGCCAATCAAATTTCAGAAATTTCTCATGTAGTAGTATAACAAAGATTATAGTATTTAGATTACTAATATTTCATGCAAATACGTAATGAAATTGATTGAAATTCTTGTTATTTTCTTGTTTGAGGAGAAAATGAGTTTTTTAAGTTTTTTCCTCAATAAGTTGAATGTTCTAAATGCTTTTATACTTGATGTTGTCAAATTATTCCATATTGAAATTCCTTGATATTTCAGTTACTGAGATTTTGGTAAGCGAGTTCTTGCTCGGAGTTTGTGAGCGTTATAGGACAAAAGAGGTCTTTGGGAGGTGATGGTAGGCTAAATCGATAATTCTTTAAAGAGAGGATCAATATGTTCTTTTAAATTTTGAAAAGGTGATGATCCTAATAATTTTTCTTTGTAGCCTTCGTACTGTTTCTAATTGTTGTGTACGAATATTTCTCCATGCAATGTATTACCATAACTTAAATACATATTCAACCTCAATATATGGCTACAATAGTAGGCGCGCTCTGACTGGCTGCTAAGCGGGCGAGATTTTCTTGTAATGACCAGGCATTATAAGAAAGGTGTCCAAGGCATAATTATGTAATCTGTGTTTAACTTGATGGTGGACATCCATGTTATGATCAGTTGACGGCTGACCAGTATCGCATGACTGTATCGCGGGCTGAAGTGTACACCTTATTCAGGTGACGTGTTTTTTTAAGTTATCCGTTGATCATTTAAACCTTTTCATTGATCGCAGGATCAGGTACAAAATTTCTCATTAGAGAGTTTTAGATCCGAGTTTACCGCGAACCTCTAACCGCTGGAGGTCATGTGACAAGATGTTCGCGTCACGTTTGAGGTTTACGACGTGCGTTTTCAACGTGGGGAGGTAGGTTTTCACGTATGTCATTTACCTGAAAGCTTTTAGAGTATAATTCTTGTCTTATCCCACGTCATGATACAAAAATCTTGTGGAGCAAGTCTTTATCCATTAACAGAGGCACAAATTCGGGCGAAATGCTAAATTTGATAAATCCTATTGGATCTTGAAAACAAGTGCCATTCATGGCTGCTGATTCAAAATGGCGGCCGTAAATTTGTAAGAAGAACTAATATAAGAATTTACCGCTCTTTGCTGCTAGATAAACCAGTGTTACCGTAAATTTCTTTTCTCTTCACTGATTGATATTTCTACTATTTCTAAATGGAAAAATAAACCAGAATCCACTTCTTTAATCCACCGCCAATCTAAATCAAATTATGTTTGAACGTCGAACCGCAAACGGGTAACCGCAAACCGCGGTTAGAGGTTCGCGGTAAACTCGGATCTAAAACTCTCTATTATCAAAGAAACTGTGTCCTTGGTGTCGATCACATCGCAAGGTTCGTTTCAGTTCAGTGAACACAACTTCGAATAGACCTATTCAGCGAACTCAGTTTTGTACCCAAATCAAATCTCCCGGGGTTAAGACTCTTTGTGTGTTGTATTTGCATTATGATGTGGCATTCACATTTTTAAAATAAATGGAAATTCCTGAAACAAAACGTTTTATTCCCAAAGGGTTTGAATTGGGTACAATATTGAGTTAGCCGAATAGGTTTATGACCTTGCACGCGGCATTTTTATTGTATTCATTTTAATAATAGCGCTAAAAAGGCCGTATAATAAATAATTTATTAAACTTGTCAGTTCGGTCATTGAAGGAAATCTCAGGCCTTCGCGTTGATCGCTCGGCCAATAAATCAAGGAGGTCTCGGTCTGAGATTTCCTTGTAATGACCTCACTGTCGGTTAATAAGTGGCATATAAGCAACAGACACAAAATAAAGAAGGTCAATATAAGAAGCTAGGGAATTCATAAAACCACAGAAATAACAACAGAATATTAAGAAAAATAAACTTCAAAGCTGTGAATCGGGCTTTGGAAAAAATGATTTAAAAAAGCCCATTCCGTTTTCTTCACTTTTTACATGACGTCACGGCGGTCATATTGGTGTCCCAAAACAATGAAACAGAGGCCATGTTGGTGTCCCAAACCAATCCGCTGGGAGTCAAACTCCTTTCTTACGCAAACGTTTTATTTTGTTCCAATAAATTTGCATAGATGCTGGCCACGTGAGTGAAAACACTCTATATCACTAATGGGTAACTTTTAGCAAACCCTTGGATACGCCTCGATAGTAACTGTGATTATTTACTTGGGGCTGATAACTGGGCGTTTAATCCAATTTTTATTACTATGAAATAAGAAGATTAAGAAAACCATTTGACAATGGGCCATTTCCTAGATGCCTCAAGCTTCTATTTCAAAGCGAGGCTAAGTGCTGAGAAGCCATCAACATGAAAATGATTTTTCGTTCTCGTGCAAATAACTCTGATTTTCACAACAAAGGTTTTTTGCACTAAGCCTCGTTTTGAAAGACAGTTTTGGAACTCGGAAATGGCCTATTTTCCACACAGGGCGATTACAGTTGAATTTTGGGGGAATTGGGGTTGATTCTTTGAGAATGAAAGAAAGAAGGATATAAGAAGGTATACACGTAAACCTGCAGTTAGTCTACTTATTGGCTCAGTCAACCTTGTTGTGGTGGCGGACTGTCTCGTCTTTCGTCTATTAATTTTTCACTTCAAATTTTATTCTTTAACTACCCTTAAATCCAATATTTTCTCATCTTTCCATAACTTTTAACATTTGCCCTTGAAACTTTTATTGATTACAAATATGCTAATAATCACCAAAAAATTCTCAAAAACTCATCGTTCCAAGAACTTGAGTGATTTATTTCCAAAATCGAATGATTTTCAAGGAAAAGTGCTTACGTAGAATAGGTCTGAAGAGAAAAGGCGCTTAAGGATCTTTTCATTGTCTTTGTTGTTTCCTTGTATTGTCCATAAAATAAATTGCATCGAAAGAGGCTATTAGGCCAAGAATAGAATATAATAAAAGAATCTTATGCAATGGTTAATATGTTAATCCTCTCTCAGTGCGAAACTTGCTGCGGGTGACAGCTATCATTTTCATACGGTACCATTTGTCTTGTTCATTTTTTGAATTATAATTTTTTTAAAATTTTACTGTTCATTTATTTATCTTTTTTTAATTTATTTGATCGTCTTAATTAGATTTGTAGCTAGCCGGCTTGTGGCTTTCGAAACCATGCCACTTAAATTCAGTGTTCAATTCCACCACGTCCCGATCTATATCCGGTGGATATTACAGCTTGGCATATAATTTGCCAGCTCTGAAATTACGCTTATTCACTTTGCTTTTCAAGACAATACATTCGAAAAATTCGACAAAAACAATAATTTTGCTTTCCGGGCCTCACACGTTACAGGGAGTCCGAGAAACTTTCCACCTGTATAGAGAGCTATTGTTAACAGCTGTAAGTGCGTGCCCCTTCATGTATGAAATCAATGATTAACATCAGCTTACACACTCAAGATGACAGCCTTGTCAGCTCTTGTCACCAAGTAAATTAGCTTATACACTTACTTCGTCGCCAAAACAGAACCAAAACATCGATCGCACTGACACGTTGATATTGCTTATTTTGACTTCGCTCTCGAACCGAAACGTTGCTTTACTCTGTTGTTTCATCACCAGCCAGAATGCCGAGTTATATTCGCTATCAACAGACAAATAGGCTTCGAGACAAGTCTACGTTGTTTTTCCTGTGTTCGTTTATTCTTGTGGTCGTGTATACGAGTGTCATTGGATTTGTCATCGTTCATGTGCTTAAAGTAACCAAAGGCGTTGAAGATGACAACGAAGAACTATTGAGAACAAACCAGAAGCTGGAGGAAAAGTTGGAACAAATGGTTTTTCGCATCGAGAATCTTGAGGAGAAAATCTCTAACAACAAAAGCGCCATGACTTATGTAAACATCATTTCACGGCCGCGAACAGCTGAAACGGGCACAAGAAAACAGAAACGAAGAAATGAAGAAACGCACATCAAATAAATATAACTGATGAAATTCAGAATGGTGGCAACTTAGGTACGTTCGTACCAATGCTATTGGTATTTTTTTCCTTTTCCATTTCCATTTATTTTTGGAGGAACAGTGGCTGATGCATGTTTTCAGAAACTGTAGAGGATTATAATACCTAATACTATAAGTATTTCCTTAAGAACTAAGGATTTCTTGAGATCTGTGGAACGCCAATTGCCACTTTTTGACTCCTTTATTTGGATGCGTATGGCCCGGCCGGTCTAATATAATGTAGTCGATTAGAATTGGCTCGAATATTTTTTGTTGTTTCTCATGAAAAGAAAAGTGGTCTTTTTTGGCCTCAGAAAGATAGGAAGTAGAAAAGTAAAACGATTATAAACGCCTGGTCTAATTTATTTTTTGAAAAAATCCATCAGTAATGGAGTTTCCGAAACTGCTAATTCTAATTCCAATATCAGTGTAATTAAAAATTCGTCGCCAATATTGTCGTAAAATGAAAATTGACTTAATTGGATACAGATAATTAAACACTCCGACTTGATGCAAACTCGTATTCTATTCAGTCAGACTATGCACATTGCCTTGACAGAAACAGTAGCCTGTTCGGCTTTAATTCCACCTTTATAGTCAATTCCTGTCCAACGAAAAAAGTTTCTCTCATAGCATAGAGCCCCCGGAATGAGGCCTTTTTAAGCTTACATTGACTAGGGTGAAAATGTATATTTGTAAAGCAATTGTCTTTAATATACAAGCACGAATACAGTGATTCACTAAACCACAATTCATAGTCATGCGGATAAACTCTCCCATTAGCCGTCTTGCCTATTTTCCAAGCCATGGGGCAGTGATTATTAAACTAATTCAAAAACAAACAAGAACTGGCTCAAGAAACGTTTATGCTTTAATCTGTTTACAATAATAATGGCAAAGCAATGATTTTATTGTCTATAATATGTGAAAATGAAAAGTCAATAGGTCGCAATAATATATCCTCCATCGGCTGCTGTCCCATTCATGAAAAAGAAAACCGATCTCAATGAAAACTCCTCAAATTATCCGCAATTAATAAAAACGTGGCAAAATTTGCAGTTTAAATATATTTTTTCCTCCAGTTATTTTAACCCTTTTTAGCCTGGACATTAGTTTGTACATGCACTGATTTCTCTCTTTTCGATAATTATTTTTTAATTAAACTCATGTGCAGGTCGTGAGATGCCTCATTGGTCAGGTGACAAGCCAGCCCCTACTTGAATCTAGGCTAGGAAGTATGTTCCCTCCCCTCAGTTTTATATGACTTCCTTTGACATTATTTAGTTAATGTCACGTAATACCTAGTTAGAGTGTCTTCCCTGTTCTTTCTGTCTCAGAGTCTAAAGTAGAAACCTTCGGCAAATTTCTTACGACAATAATAGATCTCAATTCAAACTCTCTCAGTTTGTTGTGTGATAAATAAGAATCGTGACTGTGTTTAAACTTCTGCCAACTACTGCATTATCTGATAGGGCATATAACCAAAACTCTGTATGGCGGAAGTTCTATCGGCTCTACGTGGTGGACTTTCTTCGCATGCTCGCAGCTAAGTTAGTTACCGACCTCGGATTCTTTAGGTTGATATGTGACACATGTAAGGAGGCAGGATGGTCATCAATTTCATGACTGTGTTGTCTAACGGCATACTCCTTATTGCACTTGTCAAACAAAAAGAAAAGGAAAGAGCCAAATAGGAATTAATTACCCAAGGCATGCAAATTAGGTTTGATATTTAAATAAGAAGCGATAGACAGTTGGATACACTAAAATGTTTCTCGTATTCCCATAGTCTGGGAAACACTTTTGTAGTACGGTATAACCTGACTACAATTTGACCTCAACTGAGAGTAGAACTTGGCCATTGTCAGGACTATTGTAAAGAATGATGTTCTCTACTTGATTCAGACCATACCGTATGCCTGAATGCAGTGAACGTGACAATTTTACTCTTAATTACCATTTTTTATTCGATCACTTTTCTTTTTCATTTTCCTATGCTATCGTTATATTTGCAATTTAGGTGTTTAGTATATTCATCTAACACGGCAAGCACATAGACTGAAGGTCCTTCAATAGTAGCCAAGGGACTCAGTACGTTTCTGACTATTTTTATGATCACCACATTTAAAGATTAGTATATCAATGGTTTCCGTCCACTTATCAGACCTGTGGATCATATTAATCCAGATTGCTATTGACTTTACCAGTTTAAACCCTACATTCACATGTCGTGTTCGACTTCACGTTGTTTACTTTCACTTAGCATTCCAGAGGCCAAGATCTCATTTAAACTACTTAAATATACCCTGTTTTATTGGTTATGCATAGTTATTTTTAGCACAGGTAAGATCGGAATCTCCGCTTGACTTTTAAGGCCATGATACAAGCCCTTTTCTTGTCGACTTTACACTTCGTCTAAAAATACTGTAAAATTCCGAAAATAAGCCTCGGGGCTTATATTTTTCAAAGGCCCTTTTTGGGGGGCTTGTTTTTGGAGGGGCTTATATTCGGAGGGGCTTCTCTACGGAGGGAAATTTGCGTTTCAAAATCGATTTGGCTAGCCTTATAGTTGGAAGGAAATTTACCGATTTTGCTTTGTTTTACTTTATATTTGAGGCCAATTTCCAAGTACAAGCCCCAACGGGGGGGGGAGGGCTTATATTTGGAGGGGCGATTTAACGGAGGGTTTTTTGCGTTACAAATTTGGGGGCTTATATTAGGAGGGGCTTATACACGGAGAGGCTTATTTTAGGAATTTTACTGTATAGCCTTAAATTACGGAAAAATATTTATTTTATCCGAGACACTAGAAGAACCCAACCTTAATGTTCAATTCAGTAAAGCAGAGACATGCTCTGTACTTGAAGTGCACTTCTAACTCCTGCGGTGTGAGGGTTTATCCGTAGTACTTGTTTACGTACTCTATCCCATTCTTAACTAAGGTGTGACGAAACCTTCTCACTAGTATAAGTCTTCATGTGGTAATTATGGAAAAGGTTAACTTTCAGACTTAACTACGTGGACAAGATCCTTGATCAATAGAGTCACCATTTAAATGAATCCGATTCTTGCATCTTGTCATAGGACCGCAGGAGCACAAGCTTGTTACCTTTTGAAAATAAATATCGACATAGAACATTGTCGTCAGGACCAGTATCAACAGTTCGGTCGCCATTTTTTCCCCTTCCTGCAATTTTCTCATTCATTATCTCTTTCCTTTTTTTGTAGTCATTAACTGGATAAGAGGGCAAAAGCTGGCAACGATTAACGAATTGTGGAGTAAACCCTATAGCTAGCGTGTCCCTGGATGCTCTATTAAGATGCGCCCAACCAAGCTAATAAATTTAAAATCTCCCAAAGTTATTATTAGTAAACAAAACCTACTTACTTTACTTTCAGAAGGGCAAAACTATGTAAATGTTCGGCTAGGAAAATCTGGGGCTTGGGAACCACAATAACCTCGATTCCCATGCCCAATCTGTAAAAGGAACTTTAAATAATTTTAGAGAAAACTGAACATAAAAACTGGATGTAAAAGAGAGTAAACGATACCCACAGAGGTAAATTTCATGTGTCTGAGTTTAATTAACTCTCAAAGACAATACAAAGTTTAATAAATAGGTAGATAAATGGATAGATACGCCAAGGCTCATTTATTTCAAGCATGTTACATTTTTAAAGAGGAGGGAGGCTTGGACAAAGAGTTTGAAATGCAGAGAGAGACAAGGGTTCTTTTAAGCAACGAGTTAATTTCTCCGAATATATCAATTTGGTAAGACGTTTGTTAAAAGTAATAAGTGGTGAGTCGCTTGGAGCGTCCAATGTGTAGCCCTGTGTCATCCTTTTCTGAAAGACAGTTGATGCTTTCTGGACAGCTGCTGGTGTAACCATCAAGAGATCTAACTTGAGAACCAATGGTTATACAGTCTCCCAGTCGCAAGGACGCCTCGTGAAGAGAGGGTCTCCTATTTTGACCGCACAACGCGTACGTGTCCGTGTAGTAGACTTTAAGTCTGTTTGAGATGGACAAGGGTGGTCGCCAGCCAGATTCGACCTCTCGGTCTTCCTCCTTTAGAGAGTGTAGCATATGTGCTTCCTCTGTAAAGGTGCGGAGCCTTCGACCCTTCGGTAAATGATTTCTGTACGATCCCCCGTAACCTTCCTGTTCAGGAACACTGGACTTTAACACCTTTAAGCTACGTGGGATACTCGAGGTTTTCTCGCTGCCGATGGCTTTGCCTCGTGAACGCATCCTTATAACCCTGTCTATGTCACTACAATCTGTGTCAGATGATCCACGGCGATTAAAGCGCGTACCGTATGCCCACGAAAGGCTGGTTGCTTTCTTAGTCTTCGGTAAAGAATCATGACCTGAATAAACTCTAGACAGGTGCTTGGGACTTAGCGAGTTGGCGACCGTCAGAAGTCTTGTTCCCCTTTCTTCGTTAGATAAATTAACGATAGTATCGGACTGGTCTCTTCCAAAGCCTTGTTTTTGCATGGTGACGTATTCCCTAGGTGGAGCCAAGCTAGATGATTCAAGTTCTTCTTGAAGATTGCTGGACAAGATTTTCCGAGTTGGTGTCTTCATAGAGTCATGTACGCAGTTGAAGTAGAGTTGAGGTACAGTTAGCAAATTCGAATTGGGTATTCTACTTGCTTGGCTTAGATAACGATCTTGCCAAGCTTTCACCGGATTTGGATCGAGCATCTTTACTGCTCGGTAAATGTTTTGATGGGTGTTGAAGTTGCCCTGGTCACAGTTTGCAGACGCAGGGACGGTTCGTTTGTTGTTTAATCCTTGCTCTAGGTCATCCGCACGCAAACCCTGGAGACACTGAGCTGGCAGTTGGCTTGGAGGACAATCTTTCAAAGGAATTGTGACGCTGATGGGATCTGGTTTGGTATTTCCTTCGACATCTGGTTCATTCCCGTAATACTTTTGGCACCTAGCTTTAATCCCTGCTCCAAAGATATAC